GACCCAAGCATTGTATGCACATATGAATAATAAAATAAATAAATAAATAAATAAAAATATAAAATTTAAAAAAAAACTTATTCCTTAGAATGACACTGTTGGAAGATTGTAGAACCTTTAAGAGGTGAGACCTACTGGGATGACTTCTTGTCATTAGCAGCATGCCCTGTGAAGAGGAAATTGGGACACTGGCCCTTCCCTTCTCTTTTTCTCAGTCCTAACCATGAAATGAGCAACTTTGCTCCTTGCTATGATGTGTTGCCTCACCACAGGCCCCAAATTATCAGGATCAGCCAACCACTGAAACCTCTAAAACTGTGAGCCAAAATAAACCTTCTCTTTATAAGCTGACTATCTTAGGTATTTGTGACAATAATGGAAAAATGACTAACACACCCCATGTATGAAGTTATTTTAAGTGAACTTGTCTTCATTATCTGGCTCCCAAAAGAGTAAAGGAGAAGGAGCCACAGGCATTTAAATCTCCTGAAAGTCTCTTCAGTCAGAGGAAGAGGTGCTTATAACAATTGGGGGGGCGCATAATAACTACCTACTCTTTAAATACTCTTTAAATAGCCACCAATTCTTTGTCTGAACCTCATAATAAGAAGCAATAATTAGTAATGAGAGAACAGACTCCCAATATTTGAAGGACAGGGTCCTTATTTCCCAGTCTGGTTCCCATAAGCTGTGTGTAGGCTGCTCTCCATGCACAACTGCCTAGTCTGGGGCTAAGGGATGGGGGTGGGTGGCTGCTATGTGCTAACATCAGAAATTGACCAAAACTAACCACAACTTACCATCCAGACCTTTCCCTGGATGTTGCAAGCCAACTTTTAACTCTGAAGTAGTATTATCAGACAGAATCTGTGTGCAATGGTTATCAAGGTAGAGAGACAGATTTGAGGGTTTCTCCTCTGTTGCCTTCCTAGAAACCTTTCCTACCACCACCATTGGCTTTTAAGCATAAAATCTAAAAAGTGAAAAGAATAAATACTGGCCCTGGAATCCTCAACTCTCTTAAATTGTTGCCCTATCTCTATCCTCCCCTTTTGTGCTAGCCTTCTTGAAAAAACAATCCTCATTTGCCTTCTTCATTTACCCCTCCTACTCACTCCTCAATATGTTTCATTGGCTTCTGGCTTCACCACTCTCACTCTCCCCAACCAGTTCTCACTAGGGTCACCAACAGGTTCCATTTGGCCAAGATAAGTCAATCTTCTCAGTCCTCACCTAAATTGGTTCCTGCTCAACACTCCTTCCTTCTCTCTCTGCTTTTGTTACCTAGAGCTCCTGGGTAGGACTTTTCTCTCTACACACTCTCTCGTGGCATTCTCATTAACTCCATTACTGCATTACCACATAGATACAGTCTCCAGGTGTTTATCTCCAGTTTAGACCTGTCCTAAACCCCAGCCCTGTTTAGACAAATGCCTACTTAACATCTCTTTTCAGATATCTAAAAGGCAGGTCAGATCAATCATGTCTAGAAACATATTTTTTAAAAAATCTCTGCCCTCCCCCTAACTCTAGCCCTCACCACCTAAAACACCTTCAAGTACTTCCAACCTCAGTAGCCTTCAGAAAGTCAGTTACACAAACCAGAGGCTGGGCTGATTTTGCTCCCTTTACTTCTCATTCCCTCCCCTCTTCCTGCAACACTAAAGCCCGGGGGCTGCACATCCTCAGGAGCTTCAAATCCATTCTTTTCTCACATTCAGCATCACTTCCTACTCTGGTGCAAGCTACCAGCATTTGTAGCAGAGACTACTGCAAGATCCTCCTAACTATGTCTCTCTGTCCTCTGCAGTCTCTCTGACTACATGAAGACAGGGATGGTTCCAAACTGCAAATCCCATCCTGCCATAAAGAAGAAAAGTCCTTGGCACAACATCATGGCTTGGCTTCTCCTTACCTTCAGCTTTATATCACTGTATCTCCCACACCCACCCACCTTTTCTTAAGTCCTCCCTCTTCCCGACTCCTTTCCACACAGGACCTTACCTATACTGTTGCCTCTTGCTGAAAAGCACTAATCCCACTTCCTCCCCATCTTCTCCTACACTACCTACATAACTAAGTATCACCTACCCCAGGAAGCCATCTTGATTTCCCTGAACAGCTCAAATCTCCCTGTCCTGGGGTCTCCTAACACCACTGACCCTTGCTTCTGAGGTTCTCAGTTGAAACTTTATGTTCCTTTGTATAATTATGTGGGTGGATCTATAAGCAACATAGAATGGAAGCTGAGTTTTTGTGCACCATGTACCCTCCAGCTTCAACTGTCTGCATGTATCAACAGCTAATATTATCAACACATGTGCCAAGTCCTGCTCTGAGTGCCCTGTACAGAAATTTCTAATTTATACCCCGTAATAATCCTGCCAGGAAAATGCTATTGTTTCTCTCTCTTTAGAGATGAGCAAACTGAGGTGTAAGTAACTTGGGCATAATTTCACTAGGAAGAGTCAGAACCGGATTTCTACTCCAGGCAAGCTAACTGCAGACACCATGTACTTACTGAGTGCTACACTGTGTTCAGTACTGTGTGTGTTTGCTGTATGAATCAATGGCCAATAAATGTTTCTACCTGAGTATTTAGTCATCTCAACAGAAGTAGAAGTTAGGTGTGTGTGCTCCTAAAGATGCTCTCCAGCTCCAGAATTTCTGTGGTGAAAGGCATGAGAAAGGAAAAGGGGACCAGGTCCTAACTCCTCTGTCTGAATTTCCAAACTTGCCAGTCTGATCAGCAATGAGATCTAGCCTCCTCTCCCTCTACAGGGACACACCCACCTCCAAACTGGGTGAATGACTCCCTCTCCTCCGTGTATCCCTTTTCTACTAGTTCCACTTTCTGAATGGCCTCCCCATTGTGATTTCTCCAAACCCCGCCCCTCTTTCGAAGTCAAGCTCCATGCCCCTTGCTCCAGAGAGACTCTTGCTAACCAAACCATTTCTTTCAACTCTCCCTCTTCTAGTAATAATAAAAGTAATATAAAGATAAATGGTGAAGCAGTACATGAGCACTGGAAGCACTTAGAAGTTACTGAAGATGCTAAATAATAGAAAATGACTCTCTTAAGAAAAAAAAAAGGTCTTAGAGGAAGAAGCTGATGACTACATGTGCAGAGGGTAAGTTTTTCAATCTATATCTCATCATTTAAAAAAAAAAGGCTATGGACCTCAAAATGAAAGCATGGTGTTGAAGAAGCAGATTCAGCCTAACTGGTAAGTTCCTACAAGTCACAAAGTAACACCCACGCACAGGAAATCAATGTGAGTCAATGCCCTGTATAGCTATCCTTATCTCAACCAGCAAAACCCCTGTTCCTTCCTATTATTGCTTATACTCTCTCTACAACAAAATTAGAGATAAGGGCAAAATAGTTTCTGCTGGGTATTGAGGGGGGGAGCGGGAGGGGGTGGAGTGGGTGGTAAGGGAGGGGGTGGGGGCAGGGGGGAGAAATGAACCAAGCCTTGTATGCACATATGAATAATAAAAGAAAAATGAAATAAATAAATAAATAAATAAAATTAAAAAAAAATAAAGAAAAAGAAACAAAGACACAGAAAAGGAAAGGAAACATGCACACTCTGCTAGGAAAGTGTTGCTAGAAGTTTTCTGATCAGTGCCAGGGGATTCGTTCCATACACAGGAGTCAAAGGAGGTATATAGAGATTCAACATTTGCATAAAACATACAAGGCTCAAGAAGACGTGCCATCATTAGTGCTTGTGAGTGAGGTGAACAGGTTTGCAGTCCTATCATGCAGTTTTTGTGGGAATTTGGTTTTTTGCTTTGAGACAAGCTTTACCAGGCTGGCCTGAAACTCCTGGGCTCAAGTAATCCTCCTGCCTCAGCCTCCAGAATAGCTAGGGCTATAGGGTTAGGCCATCTTGCCCAGTTATCAGACTTTTTTAGTATCTGTTGTTTGTTTGTGTTTTGGTGGCACAGGGGTTTGAAATCAAGGCCTTGTGATAGCTAGGCAGGCACTCTACCACTTTAGCCACTCCTCCGAACTCTATCATGCATTTTTTTATATATCCTTAATCCAGATTTTTAATTACGTCAAGAGACTTAAATTAAATCTATTAACAGAATTCTATACAGAGAATACTTCTCAACTTTCTAGCTAAGTGTGGTGGTACACATCCCAGCTACTTTGGAGGTGGAGACAGGAGGTTTGAAGTTTGAGAACCCAGGAAAAATTAGCAAAATATTATCTCAAAAACCAGCAGGTTATGGTGGTACATACCTATGACCTCAGGTAGTTGGGAGGCAGAGGCAGGAGGATCATGGTCCTAAGCTAGCATAGGCATACTCAGCATAAAACCCTCTTTGAAAAGCTAAAAGCAAAAGGGCTGAGGGCATAGCTCAAGTGGCAGAGTGCTTGCCTAGCAAATGAGACACCCTGAATTCAATCCCCAGTTCCAAAAAGAAAAAGAACCTTCAAGTTTCTGTTAGAATTGAGAAACCAGTGTTTGCGACTTGGAACTACTTTAGAAACTACTTATCTAAGGGAACTCATGAAATAATAATGCATGAGTGAATTCTAGTGTGCATTACGCAAAATCCTATAGTGATAGCATCTTATACTTGTACAATGTTTTATAGCCCACAAAGCTATAAATTCTATTCATTTACTTTTCACAACACTCCACCCTCTTCTCTGGATGTCCTCCGCCCTGTTGTCCCTAATGCATATTCCAGGATATTCCAGGTATGACCTCATAGCTATACAGGGACAGCAGAACTCTGCTTTCCTGGGCCCTGAGGCACATCCATCAGTGCAGACAAATAGTACAGGTTTTTTACAGGATACATCACAAGGTTGGGTCATAGAATCAGAGTCTCCTTCTCCAGTGAAGAATCTGGGACTCAGGAAAGTCAAGAGACTTAATCAAGCTTGCAATCTAGTCGTGCTCCTAGTAGATACATTTTGCTTTGGAGCCCACATTGAGGTCCTTTTCTCATTCCATATTGCACAGAAAAATTTTACCTGAGAGTTCATTAGGCGAATGGTAGTTTTCGTGCCCACATCTTGTTGGAAGTTGGCTGTGGGTGCCCCATTAAACCTCAGGACTGCATCATGATCATCTATAAACCACAAGGAAATAGAAAAGACGTGATGAGTGCTTGAAAATGCAGGAACAGAGAAGAGCAGGAAGGAGCAAAGGCAGGAAGAAGGGGAAAGGGCAAGACAGTCATGCTTCCAGACCTTTATCCCATCATGAAACATGGAAAATTGTACTCGTGTGGTGCCCAGGTAAAGCCCCTAGGCAGACCCTGTCTGCCAGCCACTGAAAGAGTACAGAGGTCTATATGGTGCATTCCTGAAATCTGGTCAATGCCAGTGGGCCATGGCACAGCAGAAAAGTGAACAGGGCCAGTGTGCTGCTTTACAGAGAAATCACTGCTCTATTTATCAACAGAACAAACCAAATACTCTCCTAGGTGTCACCAGTACATCATACTTCTATCCATGTCAGAAAAATGAAGACACTACCATATGCTCAGTCTATGCCATAAATGCAAAGTACCCATTGCACTTGGACAAGCATACAATAGTCTGAAAATAGAAGGAATTCACTGTGTCATTCCAGACAACCCCTAAGGGGCCTCTGAGGCCTAAAGAAAGGTCATAAATCTGGTGGGGCAGAAATTGGACAGGCGGTCATAGGAATAAACTAAATCCTGTGTTTTCTGGGTTTTGTTTTTGTAATAATACACCACAGTAAATTTAGTCAAGATCAAATAGACCATCTTAAGCACACCTAAATACTTCCACAGTCCTATCTCCTTATAGCTATTTAACCAGAGTTTGGAAGACTTAGAGAAGTTTCCATACCTAGAAATGACCAATCTGATGGAGGTAGGAACCATCCCAACCCTAAGCCTCTGTGATCCTATGAGAGCTCATCTCAACATTACTTGATTAAGCAAGTTTGGAGTTCACCAACAAAATCTGCACAACAATCTATTGTCCTTCTCCCTCCATGTGGGTTTGTTCTATATGCACAAAGATAGGATTAGAGGAACAAAAGACATTTGGTTCAATACAAGAGGACTTAGAAAGAGATGCCTACAGAATCAAGAGATGAAAGCTCCCCTCTTTATCTTAATGGCTGAATATGGTTGATGTACTCTCAATACAAGAATGAATGTACAATTTTTAAATTGGTTGAAAAAACCGTAAGAAAGAGACTAAGGTAAAAAGAAGAAAAATAGAGGAGATGAACCAAATCAGTCTATAATACACATATACATGGAAGTACTACAGGGAAACTCCCTGTGTAGCCATCTTAAACAAGCAAAAACTGTCATTTTTTTCCTTTTACAAAATCAGAGAACAAGAGGGCAGAATAGGTCGGTCATGCCTGGGAAGGTTGATACTACTGGGAGAGAGGAAGAGGTGGAAAAAGGTTGTAGGAGGGTGAATATGGTACAAATACTATGTACACTGTATATAAATGGAAAAAATGATACCTGTTGAAACTATTCCAGGAATGGGAGTAGGAAGGATAAAGGAAAATAGTGGGAAGGGTGAGTTCAAGTATGATATATTTGAAATATGGTAAGAATCTTTATAAATGCCACAATGTAGCACCACCTTGCACAACAATAAAAAAATTCCAATATAGGTACTAAACATCAGGAACCCAGATGCCTCATTCACAGGAGAAACAGACCCCTATCCTGAATCCAAGGACAACATGTCATTAAAATGGTTTGAAAGTTACAGTAGATGAGCATAGTCCAAATCTTATCAGCTTACATGGCATACACACTGAACTGCAAATAGGGCAGGAGGTACATCTGTACACAACTCAGCACTCCAACCCACTTTGTCAGGGTCAATCATTGGTTTCCAAAGTGACCAGTCATAATCACATGAGAAATGCAGCTCCATCAGAAATGGCACTTAATCAGCTTTCTCATTTCACAGATGAATACATTATTGGTGAGAACCCCAGCAGAAAGATGACAAGCTCCAAAGAAGTAATTGAGAGTTTTGTAAAAGAACTATTTACAAACCTGAGTTTAAGGAAATCAGCACAACTCAGTGTTGGCTGCTCCAAGAAACCATTACTATTGCCAGGGTGCCCTGGCCTGAGGAGCAGAGATACTGAGCTGAAGAGGGCCACTTTTGGGAGTGGGAGGGGAACACAGCTACTGCTAATGTCTAGCCAGCAAGAAGGAGGCTGAAGAAGTCCATTCCCTAACCTCTCCACCAGCCCCCAGAGCTGGTAGGCCTGAAGGAAAATGGAGAGTAAGACCCAGAGACTGAGAGACTGTATGACAGAGGCTGAGACTTTCAGTTAAGAGAAAGCCACAGCCAGAGTTTACCCTGCAGGGAACATTGGAGGAAACAGATGCCTTGACCTCACTTTCCTCCTTCTCAGCTCTATGTCAGTGCTTCTACTGGTCGGTTTCAAATAGAAGGCAAAAAGCAAGGAAAATCCATTGACATAGTCCAAAATCTGAACTCCCAGGGAACACAGCCAGATGGGAAAGTGGAGAAAAGGGTGGAGGGTAGGTTTGGAGGGGTGAATGGAGAACATCCCACACAGAAGGTTTAGGATATAGATCTTTGATGTTGACCATAAGAAAAGAGAATCATTTTGTTCATTCAATAAATACTGATTGAGCACCTACTCTATACCTAGCACAATTCTACATACTGGAGATGATCATGTGAGCAAGAAAGACACAGTCCTTGACCCCAGAGAACTTATATTTAAATGCACAGAGAGATAAGAAATAAACACAACTTAGGTATAAGATAACTAGCTACTAGTTGTGATAAGGACTATGACGTAAATAAACTCAGTGTGTGACAGACACACTGAGAGAATTTCCCTTTGATAATATGATGATTGAGGGAAAGCCTTGGAGCTGAGACCCAAAGGATGGCCAGGCATGGAAAAGGCCCACAGAAGTCCATTGCAACCAGAGGACAGAGCCACTGTTAAGACTGCAACAGGGTAAGGGCGTGACTGGAGATGAGTGAAGGGAAGAAAAGTCAAAGATGCCATTAAAGAAATCAGCAGGAAGCAGGTAGTGCAGGACTGTGGAGGCCTGGGTATAAGTTTGGATTTGGTTTTTAAAGTCAAAGAAGAAAACTCTATTTGTTTTCTTTTGTTTTATGAGCCAATGTAGCCTGGCTGGCCTCAGACTCATGATCTTCCTGACTCAGCCTCCTAAATCACTGTACCACAAAAGCGTGCACTGCCACACCCAGATAGAAGAAAACTTGAAAAGGCCACTGACTTGGGATAATAAAGAAAAGGAATAGGATTCTTGTTTCCCAAGCCATCCTTTGCTATTGAAGGATGAAGCACTGTCAAACTGAAATAAGCTCCAAGAAATCACCAAGAAAAATCTACAACTTACAGGATTCTAGTAAATAAACCTGGCAATTAGAAAGGCTGCAGAAGCTACTACCTATCTTTAATGTAGAATTCAAGCTTAGAAAAGAAAAGGAAAAAAGTATCATTATATGCAGGTGACATGACTACATGACTAGAAAAGTCAACAGAAATAGCTCAAGTTAGTAAATTCATAAACACATCAAAATCCATTGCTTCTAGTTATAATAACCAAATAGCCAGAAATTGCAAAAAAAAATTTTATCACAATTTATCACCAACTATTTATATATTTTCAAATTAGCTTAATAAATCATATAACCATTTATGGGAAGACTATATTCTGATTCTGGCTGGGGAAATTAGACATACTCTAGAGCAGGGCTGGAAAACTGTAGTCTGCAGCCAAATCAAGTCATTCTCTCATTTTTATAGTGTTTTGGCTCATAGCCAGGCCCATTCATTCACGGCTGCTGTCTATGGTTGCTTTTGCATAACAACAGCAGAGTTAAGAATGACAGACATTGTGTGGCCCTCAAAACTGAAAATATTTACCATTTGGCCTTTTACAAGAAAAGTTTGCTGACCTCTGACATAACTGATGGTGCTCTCCAAGCCACTCAATCCTGTTGTCATTTTTATCACGAATCTGTCCTCCCTGTGCAGATTCTGATGGCAATGGCTGCTATCGACAAAACTACATCACTTTTGGCCTCTCATAATATACACCTTGTTCTCCTCCAGCCCCTTTCTGAATTTTTCTTCCTTTCTCTGTTCTTCTTTCCTTGTTCTTTAAATGTAAACCTTTTAGTAGGTATTCTAGTTGGTTCTCTTCCCTGTAGTATAACTATCACCTCAGCTGGATATAACAGTCTCCCAAACCTGATCTCCAAATCTGATCCTTTCTCTGAACCAAATATCCAACTGTGTAGCTGTCTACTCAGTGACAGCTACAAACACTGTCAGACTCAGTACACCCAAAATGGAATTTGCCTTCCTCCAGAAGCATGCTCCCTCGTGATCTGATATAACCTGCCTGTAGGCTACAAACACCAGCTCCTGCCTATGACTAAAGGCTACTTCTAGTGAGACACCAAGTTCTGGCTCTTCTAGCACATGATGCCTTTTTCCCTATCATCAATACCACTGTCCGACAGGCCTGGCACTTCTTACCTGGATGAGCAATAGCTCCCAATGGAGATGTTATCTAGAAGTCCCCATAGAGAAGATAATCCCGAGAAATGAGAAGTCTCTCCAAAGAACACACTATCTCATTGCTCCCATACTTAAAAGCCATTTAAGGCTCTCTGTATCTTAAAGAATGAAACCCAAACTCCTTCTGGTGTCTGCCAAAATTCTCTAACATCTGACCCCTGGCTATGTTTCTGGCCTCATTCCTTACCCTTCTTTACCCAATAGGCCCCACATCCTAGCCAAACAGGATCATTTGTGATGCCCAAGCCTACTCTACACATTTCTCCATGCAGCCTTTACCTCAACTCAGAATGTTCCTCTCCTTTCCTCTAGGAAAGCAACAAGGGATAAATCCAACCAAATTATATTAAGAAATTATCATTATGAGGCACAAAGACAGAGGGACCTTTGAGTCAAATGACCACTTTCAAGCCCCACTGTGCTCTCAACTGGTTGTGTAAATCTCTTAAGTCTTTACAGTTGGCTCATCAGCAAAATAGGGGCAAAAACATTTGCCACTTCACAGGACCACTGGAGAGATCAAAAGAGTGGCTATGTCAGGCATACAGCAGGTACACAACAGGTGTCACTTCTATTGGTGATAGTGTTTTTTAAAATATGCTATTGTTTGAAATGAAATTTCCACAAAACTAAGATATTTTACATGCCTAAGTAAGCCATCATACTTAATGCAAAATTATGGCACCCACCTCAGCTGGTTTCTGGGTCTTCTGGAGGCATAGAACATTACACAGTGTCTCTAGGGAACAACCTTGCCATGGATGGGAGAATAGCTATAAAACTTATTTGTATCTTCTAACCTCATTCCTGAGGATTTCCCCATTGGAGAGCAGTACTAATCTCTTAAGTCAGCTACACAAAATCCTTGTTAACAGTATTATTTGTAAAACTAAACAGTTTGAAACCATCTGGTATATTCAATAGTTGGGAACAGGCTCAACAAATTCTGAATATAGTGAGAAGTTTTGCCCCTTTGTATTCCAAGTTGCAATTCTGTTATTGATGAATTCATGAATGCATAAAGAGAATAAAAGAATTAATGCCTTAAAGTACTTGTTACACTAAATGCCCAGAGGAATCTACCCTATAAAAGTCAGAAAATTTGAAGTTTAACATATGATTTTTATTATATCTCAAGATCAAAGTCCTTCCATAATATTTCTTTGAAGGTGTTATCTATAGAAAAAGATTATTTTAATTGATGTTTATTTAAATCACTCACACTTTTTGTTGTTGTCATTGTTTTGAGATAGGGTCTTGTTATGTAGCCCAGGCTGGCCCTGAACTAGAGATTCTCCTATATTTACCTCCCATAAATCACTCAGACTTTAAGGAGAACATAAAAATAAAGCCTAGCCAGGAATTGGTGGCTCATGACTGTAATCCTAGCTACTTAGGAGACTGAGATAGGGAGGATCATGGTTTGAGACCAACCCAGGGAAATAGTTCTCGAGATTCTGTCTCCAAAATAACCCAAGCAAAATGGACTGGTGGTGAGGTTTGAGTGGTAGAACACTTCCTTTGCAAGTCAAAGACCTGAGTTCAAACCCCTATCCCACCAAAAACTAAAAATAAAACTATAATGCCAATTCACAAAGAGATCAGGCTCTACTTCAAATTCCAACAGAATTTCAACCAGAGAATGATAATTTGATAGGTAGAACAAGGTTCCATTAATACCTGTCCTAAAAACTACCATTTTGTTGCAAAACTGAGGACAAAAGGAAATTAGTTCTAACAGAGATGGGTGAAACTAATTACATTTAGTATCTAGAAAAAAAAAAAAGTCCAAAAGAAATCAAAAAGGCAGAAGCCAAAGTTGAGGTGGGCAGTCTTACTGGCAGATTTTATTAGTAGGCACTGCCTATTTGGGAGGAAAACATGTGATCTCACCACTTCTTTCTGCTCTAGGGAATCCACCTTGGGTCTGCATTTCTCCTTGGAGCCTGTGTTTGGTTTCAGAACATTTTTCCTGGCAATCACAGGAAGGAAATAAAAACGAGACATATGACCTCACCTGCTCTAGTACCTCTAGGCTGACAGAAGAGCAAGATTTCCTGTGTTTTGCTTTCTTTGCAGCCTGATTCATTTCACAATAGTGAAAAACATTTTCTCTCAAAATAAGAGAAATAAAGGCCTTAAACAATTAAGGAGCTGTCTGTTGTATAGGTTTATCAATTCAGATAGATTTTTCTATCTTTATAAGCAGCAAAGTGTTTCAAGAAAAGCAAATCAACATTTTACCAGTGATTCTTAAAACTTCTGGGGGTCACAGAACCCTCTAAGAATCAACTACAATATATGATTTCTGTCACTGAAAAATCCAAGTCAGACTTGCACACTTAACCCATGGGTACTTTTGTATGCAATTTTAGGGATTCATGAACCCCCAGAAGTTGGCCCACAGCCTCCAAGTTAAGAATTCCTCCTCTAATTAATTTTGTTTTCAAATTGGAAAGCTGAAAATTTGCCAGGGTTGAGGCCTAACAAGTCCTCCTGTATAAGGTAAAACAACAGAATTTCAGAATCTAAAAATAAAATAGAGATCTATGCTTCAAACATTTTCAAAGGTCAAAGGTGACGGTATGTGGTTGATGGACTTCATGTAACTATATGAAACAGAACTAAAAACCTCTTGCAATTGCTTTAACTGGGGTGGGGAGGGGGCTGAGGGGGAGAGATGATGGGGGCAATGTAAATAATGTACAATATAAGTCTTATTGGAATTGTCACTACAAATTTCCCTCCCCATTTAATCAATATATCTCAATAAAAAATTTATTTAAAAAAAACTGTAGTGTTTTGCTTTGGGGTGGCAGTAGAACTCTCTTTTTAAAATGCAATTCTCTGCAAACCACTAATATTTGAAACAGATTAAAAATAAGTCTATTCTAATTGATAAAGACCCTGGAGACCTGTGTTCCCATCCTTTCAACTCTCCCTATGACACTTCTCACTCTGAGAGTTGAAAACGGCTCTAGGCCAGCTCCACTGGTCTACTGAGCTATACTGGCACTCTTACCTCCAGACCATCGAGATGCCCAATCTTAACATACCTATCTCTCGGCCCAGTTGGGAGGACTTCAGAGATCCTGCTGATGAGACAACAGCACACTTGTGCCATGGCCCAGCCTTGGTCCTAATGTTCTCCTTGGGCAGGTAACCCTCCCATTCAGAGGTGTTGAAGGGAAAATCTGTGGCCTCTACCATGGATACATTTACATGGTCCCGGAGATGGCAGCGCAGGGCCTCTGCACTGAACTTGACTCCTGGCTCTGGCCCCTTGTAGGACACTTTGTACTTGTTCATGTTCACATAATTCTTCCAGATCTTTTGCAGCCTGGGGATAAGGTTTTTGGATGAGCTGTCCTTGTTCCACACCTGGAAAGAGGGTGGTAGTTTGGCCATGGCTGGGACCCTGGGACTACTAAGAGTCTGGCTGCCCCTGTGAGGGTCCTGGGTGCCACTTGAGGACACAGATTGGGGACCAGACCCCATGGTCAGTTTCTCGAGTCTCCCCAGCACCTGGTATTCCTTGGATTGCAATTTAAGGGAATCATAGTAACGTCCTTTCTTCCTTTCCTTCCACACACAGATGACTGCAAACAGGAGAAAGGCCAGGACACAGCAACTGAACTTTTTCTTCAAGTTGATGTGAATCATAATGAAAGATGTGTTCAGGGAAACCACTGATCAGAGTAGGAGCCTAAAAAAAAGCAGGACAAGGAGAAAAAAATGATAGAAAGGACATCCAAAAGTGGCATGCAGTAGGGTGATGGCTTTAGAGTGGGGAGACTTGAATTCAAGCCCTGTTCTACCTACCACCAGCCATGCATCCTTTAGCAACTCCTAGAAAATATGCAACCCTAGTTTGGGCTTTGAATGTAGTCAGCATTCCCTCTGAGACTCCTTTCTTCTTCTCTGAGCCCAGAACACTTTATATACCTTCCTAAAGTTACTTTGTGCACCCTTAATCTTAGTTTCTGGTTGCCTTGGTCTAACTCCCTAAAGAAGCTTCACTCTGAGCTTCTTGAAGTCGGAAACCACAGTTTACACATCTCAGATTCTTAGCGCCTTGTACACTCTATTAAATGAAGACACACATGCTTGAAACAAATAGAATTAAAAAGGATAAACAGGTTGATTAGTCTCTACCATAAAACCCAGATACCCTAAAATCCTAAATTACTTAAATATCCTGAGAAAGGCCTCCCACTTTAGGTGATACTACAGATTTGTGACACATCTCTCTAGAGGCTATGATGTTGAACTCCTTCATGAGAATGAGATCAAGGGTTAGCTTCACAATATAACATTCAGTTTTGTGTTGTGTACTGTAAGTAAAGCACTCTTAAGACATGAAGCTAGTTCACTTCCTGATAGAAGATGGGAAATCTTGGTAAGATATCAAGCATGTAGCCAATTAAGGAAATGAAAATTAGAACTGACAAAGCACACTAGATGTTATTATATTTAATTTCACCATAACCAGCATCACTGTGATACGTAACTCCAGAGAACACCATACATATCACAGTCTAATATGAAGAACATCTCCTGAGCTGTTCAAAGAGACCCCTCCCATCACTAGCAATGAAGATGTTATGATTTCCATTTTTAAGGACTAGCACCCAGAGGTCCTGAGAGGTTGAAGGAAGTGCCTAGGATCACAGAGCTAAGGAAATAGTTGCCCTGAGGTTCAAAGTCAAGTGAGCTTGATTCCGTAGCTCAAGTCCTTCCTACTATACCATGCACAGAACTATTGAAAAGTTCTGGAAAATGCCTTTCACTAAGCTAATTGAGCTATGAATAATTGCTCTTTATTATCTAGGTAAACACCTACTTTGTTTTTCTGGAAATTCATTATGTAACTACCAGAAGATGGGAGTTCTTTGAACTCAAGTAACATCTATCTTTTGGAAAACATTAGATTATTTCGTCAATCACTGGGTTTACTTTTCATAATAAGTACAATCAATTGCCCCTGTGGATTTGCTAAACCATTAAGAGTCTAAAGTCCTTTCCCAGGTAGTCTGCTCCTAAGGATATTAGAGATAAAGTAGTAGGAGTACTAGACAGGATGTTGATGAAAACTGGGTTCTCATCCCTGCTCTCGGTGATCCTGGGCAAGTGAGTATCTCTGTCTCTCCTATAGAATAATTATTTCTGCCTATTTTGTTCATGGAGTATTGGGAGGACCAAATAGGCTTGGTGCAAAGTAAAAACAAAGGCATGGGAGGTACTCTAAACAGTCACAAGGACAGCCCTTTGGCAAGAGGGCCATGTGAAGGCGATGAGGGTCAATGACAGATGGCAAAATGGCCATGATATATTAGCCTGAGAGGCAGGCACTTCATCTGAGACTCTTTAATGGACTGACATCCAGATCATTCTTCGAATCCACTGGCAGTAAAAGCCAAGCATCATTTCCTATTGTTTGATACCCTAGGAAGCAATAACTCTGAGGATGATGGTTCGTTAGCTTGGGTAGCAACAAATTTTAAAATGATGAAACGTAACACAGAGAAAGAATTCAGATACAACAACATGAAGTGAGTCACATCATCAGAAAACTAAGAAACCAAATCTCCTCAGACATATGACTATGTGACAGCTCAGGAACAGCTACAGAGGAAGTAGCATTTAAGGAGGCCTCACTGCACTTTATCTGCAATATCCTACTGAAACTTTACCATAGCACCATGGAGCAGATAATCACAATTCCATGTTAGAAATTAAGGCTGGAGTGGCTCAAGTGGTAGAGCACCTGCTTATTTAGTGTGAGGTCCTTAGTTCAAGCCCCATTACTGAGAGAAAAACAAAAAAAACCAAAAAAAAAAAAACCTTCATAGAAATTAAGAGACTGAGCCTTAGCAGGGCTATAGGGTTTCTCCAAGGTCCCAATAGATCATCAGTACTAGAACCAAAATTCCAACCCAGGTCTGTCTGAGTATAAAGGTTGATGGTTTTTCCACTAAAGGACAGAAATCTGTGCCTGGGGACAATGAAAAGTCAGTGTTGACCATTAGGACTCAGAAATCAGAGTGCCTAAAAGAAGCAACACAATCTGTCAGACAATCACAGAAAATCCACATCCACAATGGACAGTGCACTGGTGATCACCCTTTACCACTCACATCAGTTAGGTTTATAAGACCCAGCATAACCCTGTGAGATAAGCAGAGCAGATTTTTATGAACTCCTTTTATAGTGGAAGAAAGTAAGGTTTTGAAATGCAAGTAATTTTCAAAATTGCATGAGTAATTTGGAAATGATGGACTTGGAACTTGACTTTTATACATATGCATGATGGCAGAAAGAGCCCTGACTCACTGTCTTGGGAGCTGAGGCAAAAAGAGGGCTGGTGTAGTTTCTCCTGCATTTTCAGGAAGAGTTCCCACATACAACCAGGCCCAATGACAGTCTTGCAACCCTCTGCTGTCCTCAGTGGGTCATGGCCTCAGAACTCTCATCAGAATCCCAACATCAGGACTCCCATGGTCTCTTAACTCTGCCCTGTGTAAGACTCCAAGTTCACCAGCTGGCTGGAGTTTCTGGTCACAGGCACTTAGAGCTTTAGGCTACTTTCTCACCTCTCAAGCTGTCCTAACAAGATAAAGATGGAGGAAGCTTCATCTAGACAACTCAACTGAAGAAAAGAGTAGCAACTTTTCTCCATAAATTCTCTGGAAAACCACACCAGCTTTGAATTTCCCTATCTAAACAGACTGTCTCTTAGGCTTCCAGGCTACATTCTCTGTCCTTAACCATCAGGGGAGTTCACATCCTCTTCAGCACCTAACTGCTGCTTGCAACCAGTACTTTGTAAAGCTTGCTTTTCATGCCTGACCCAGCTGCTAGAGGAGAGCTCCTCCTGGTATTCTTTCTGAACAATGGGATCCAACACAGTGCATGGAACAGAGTGGCTGCTAAATAAAGAATTACTGAACTGAGGTGACTGTATCAATGAGTCCTTACAACCACTGTTAGACTTCTAGAAGAAGGATGTAACCACACATTATCACCTATAGATAATGTGATTATCTTAATGCTAAGCCAGCACTGAATCAGAAGAAAGAAAAATCTCAAAGTAAGGAATTCTGCCCTGATCTACTCATCACAGCATGCTCAGTATTAAATGCAGTGCTTGGCACGTGGTAGGTACTCATAAAAGGCTGAGTGAATTCTAGAATAACAGAAATCTTGTATTTATAGATTACAGAAATGGGCAAGCTACCTACTCTCCCATCCTGTTCCTCATTGACCCAGGGGCTAGAAAAGAAAAAGGAAAGAGAAACTGGCAAAGCTGTAGTCAAACACTGAGACCCTGAGGCTCCTTGCCAGCATAGTCTGCCATACCATTTTTTACTCAGAAATGTGTCCTTCACTTGCCCATGCCTCTGGGTATTTCTTACCTGTTTCTGGCTAATCCCTCTGGGGCTGCAGGCCCTCCAGGTCCTCAGGAACTGGCACTGTTCTCCATGGAAAGGAGGTTTGCTTTATTAGATCTGGAGGCCAAGGCTCATTTTTCCCAGGATGATCAAAAAACATCTGCAAATAAAAAAAAAAAAAAAAAAAAGAGGTAAGAGCAGGTTTCTGGCAGAGCAGGGTTAAACATTAACAAAATGGATGGGCACTTCTGTAGGTCTGGAATATGGTATAACCCAGGAAGCCTCAAGGGCTCCGCAAAGAGTGAAGAACCTATTACAGAAGCAATGCCCTGGATCTGTGCACAGCTTAGAGACTGGAAGTAGACCATAAGACTGTCCTAGAAAGATAAAGTGGCCACCACCAACACATCTGGAAAGAAAGGGTTCATTTATCACTGTTTATGGAAAAGTAGCAATAGGTTCATCCCAAAAATAAACTTCAGACCGATTTTTTAATTAGTTATTTTTGAAGGATATTTAATGACATGAAATTTCAACCAGTATATTTTTAACTGAAAAACATAGGCTACAAAACTTTAAATACTATCCAAATTCAGAAATAAACACATTTAAAAATATATATATGAGAAAGAGAAAGTACTAAATAATGTACCCAGGATGACAGAAAAATAGGTATTTAAATTTTGTAATTTTATATACATTCCACAATTTCTAAAATGTGCATGAATTACTCTTTGAGATCAAAAAGAAAGGGCTAGGAAGGATAAGAAAGAGTTTTCAACATCAAAATGTTTGAAATAGAAAACTGATTTACAGTTTTAAAAAACAAAAATAAAAAAAGAGCTGGGGCACAGTGGTAGAGAGTTTGCCTTACATATGCAAAGCCCTGAGTACTATAATATTAAAAAAAAGTGTGTATAAAATTTTTAGAGCTAAAAATATGACCATTTTTACCATCTCTTTCTTTTTTTTGATGCAATGTGAAAAAAATGACAAAGGAAAAGTTAATAAATTCAATCACAGGAAATTCTAATTTTTATTCAATGAAAGATACTATTTAATAAAAAGGGAAACAAAGTCAACATACAAAAAAGGGGGTTAATATTGTAAAAGCCTACACAAGTAAAGACACAATCAACATGAAAAGATAAGTCACAAATTAAAAACTCCAATTAACAATCCATATGTCATTAGGATCAATCTTGACAGAAACCCAACAGGGTGAACTGGAACATTAAGATCCTAGCTTATAGAATTTACATTAGTCAACAATCTTCAAACTGGTAATATGTATTGTTGAACAGATTATAATGACATTGATATGCATTTGAAGGAAAGCTATAAGCTAGCTTAACCTTTCTAGAAAATATTCAACCCATAGAACTAAGAGCTCATAACTATTGAATAAGATACCATACTTCTAGGAAATAAGACTAAATAAAAGATTATTTACTTCAATTTTCTTACATGTAAAATGATTCCATACCTTACATAGTTGTGATGAGGACTAAAAGGATTAATGACAGAAAAATGTGAGTTCCATAAATCAATATGCATACAAAAAGATTTTAATTTCAAGCCTATTTATAATGGTAAAAATCTGTTAACAACTAAATGTCCAGCAATAGATAACGTATGGTACATCCTCCTGAAAAATAAATAAATAGATAAATAATTCTTGTTTGTGAATTTATGTAGCAACAGGGAAGAAGATACTTTAAATATTTTAATGAAAAGAGAAAAATAGAAAATATTATCTATGCATATGTTGTTGTGACTACAAGTTATGATGTCCCAGTATTCAGAAAAGAATTTATATAGTTGAGATGGAAAATTATTTCACTATACTTTCTTTATTACTCTTCCTATGTTGGTTGAATAATTAGGGCAAAACTATTGGGATAATCTCAAGAATACACTTTAACCTTGTGGATCAACTTGACATACAATATTGGGCTTGCCTTGAAGCCCATCCTAGGAAACCCAACATTAAGAAACTGAGAGGAAGCCATGTGAACATTAACTGGCTTTACCCCATAAACCAGAAGGATATCCTCCATTAAAGGCCACAGGTTCGGGTTGGGAGAGGCTCAGCTTTCGTGACCAAGAGGCAGGCAGGCAAGCAGGCTCTGGCCATGACTAATGGCAAAAATGAGAGCTGTCACTCTGCCCTTTGTCAAAAAATTCAAGCTCTGTTTATTTTTCCAGAGATGAATTGACTTTAGGGCAGTCTCCAGGGAGGATCAGGCAATGTCTCTGATAGCTATCCCTCTTCTGATGGCATGATTTCCTTTGTGGCATCAGCATTTATCATTACGTGTGCACTCAAATTATTAATTGATTAGTGTCTGTCTCCTATCACTAAAAATATTAACTAGATAAGTAGGGACTTTGTCAGAATTATTCACTACTACTGCCAATATCTCCAGACACTAGGTTAGTGTTAGGCACATATTAGGCACCCAATAAATCTTTGCTGAACGAAGAAGTTCTTTAGACAGCTGTTTATCTCAGGCATCATTGATGGGAGAGGCTCTTTCGTAGGCCCGGACAGAACACTATGGGCAGTCACCTGGCCTTTGAATGATTCCTTTTGCCTATGGATTTTGGTTTTCTGCCATCCCTAATACATGAGTTGCTGGGACATGAGATTTTTGTTAGAGTTCTACCTACAGACATCAGAAGAGTTCATTGGCCCAGTCCTTCTTCCCTCACGTCAACTGCATCTGTTCAGAAAGTTTTGCTCTCTTTGAAGTTAAAAATAATTCCCCACTCTCGATTTCCAAAACTGAACCACCTGAAACAAAGGAGGTGCAACTATCTATCTAGATCTATCATTGGTGATTAGGGATTTCCAAAAATAGTCAGGGTTGCTGATGAGGTAGCAGCACTGGTGATCTTCAACCAGCTGCACAAGTGATGACAGAACTCTCAACTCTGGATTACAAACTAGCAATCATGACAATAATACCTACCATTTATTGAGTACTAGCTATGTGCTAAGCACTGACTATAGTTTAGGGGTTAACAGTACAATCTTTGGAATCAGACTGATCTGGAGGAAGAGTCCAAACTCTGCCTTTCACTAGTTATGTCACCTTAGGTTACTCAGCCCCCTAAGACTCAGTGAATTTCCCTATAAAATGGGATAACAAGAAGTGCTGTCTGTTAGAGCTGTTTACAAAATCAAACAAGACAATACACCTAAAAGGACTACAACAGTGCCTATGACAAGTATGACGCACAACAGTCTATCAGCCCCTACTTTGTGGATACCACTACCATGTTACAAATAGGGAAAATGGGGCCAGGAAGATAAGTAGTTTGCCAGAGTAACTCAAGTTCCAGGCTCTTTCATGCCTTTGTAGCAATGCCTATGAAGATTTTTCTGCATGGACTGTTCTTTCCTGAACTGTTCACATGGGCCATACCCACTCAGCCTCCATAACCAGTTCAAGTGCCCTTGACTTTCAAGCCTTCCTTGGTTCTACAGAGGTCAGTGTGATTCCACTGTGTCTATTCTGGCCCAAATCAAACAATGCAACATTTATCTCATTGCAGATCTATTCCAACCTTATTGAGATCTCATTTCTTTAAGGCATCTTAGGTCCCCTGCATCTGGCCAGGCTCTGAACCATAACTAAGAAATGCTCAGTCATTTTTTAATGAAAGAATGAAGTGAGCTCTAACAATATCCCTCTCTGTCCTCACTACCTTTATCTGCTAGAATTCCTTCCACTCACACACTCATCCCTTAGAATCCTCTTTGTAGCTCTCCCATGCAGATGTTCATTTCGTCTGTTGGATACACTGAATGACAGGGGAATTACCACTTCCCCAGGTCACACATGGCTGTGCAAGCAGCTGTGTCTCTTAGAAAGATCTTAAAATGAAAATCAACTTCCCTGTAAAAATAAACCCAGTAGTTTAAGTTCTGCTCTCTGTGGCTCATGTAGACTCAGATTGAGAACCACTAACACTTGTTTAGCACATGCACGTAGACTCAGTGTTAAGAACTTTACATGCATCAACTCATTTAATTCTCTCAGCAACCCTGTACAGAGTATACCACATCTTTTCCCTACCCAGGACACTCTTCTTCATTCTCTGCATATTTTAGCTCCTTAATCACTATCATTTTCCTCACCACTGTTTCTGTCATGGCCCTTAGAGATATTTATTTCCATGTCCAGGATATTCTTGTCCCCTGGCCTTACAATGATCTCCTCTACCTGAATGATTGTGATCTCAGTCACTTACGCTCAAGGTCATAGCTCTAATCTATCTCCAAAAATACAGGCCCTCATAATCTTGATTTCCCACTCTCTGCCCCAGCTCTAGTCATCACTACTGTCTTTGTAACTTATTCTGACTAGTGTCCCAACTCCAACAGTCTTCCTGGATGTCTTTCATTTCCTCATGACCTCACTTCCCTTCCTTTAATTCCATGATTATTCATTAAAATTGATCCTTTGCCCTCTTTCATTGCACATGATTGGCTAAAACCCAATGTGACTCTGTCCTGCCCCACATCTGCAGCCATGCAATAGAACTTGACTGGAAAGAAAACACACACTATGTTTACTGATTTCACATCATATTATTGATTGCCAACTGCCAGTAGGTACTTAATACTTCCCAGCAATCCTGTGCTACTCTTCCAGTATATTCATCGGCATCTCACCTTGAGTTCTACTTAACTTCCCCTCTCATTTTTGTCTCCCCTGATGAACGTGCTACTTGTTCATGGAAAAAAAAAAAAAAAAGTAGGTTTCAGAATAGAACCTGATTCTATTCTGGTTCCTGTGGTTAGTTCTTCATCTGTCCCACCTCTATGTACCAAAATGCCCCAGGCTCTTCACTGTGTTTTACATCTTCACTCAGTCTCCTTTAGCTGTGAGCACCTTGTCTGGTTTCTTTCTACCCATTCAACAGTTTGTACACACAATACAGTTATATGCACAATTCATTGAAGTGTACAAAAATGAGGTCAGAAAGAAGTTTCTGTTGGTGGGTTTCTATAGAAATGAAATCTTTGAAAAAATGTTTTACAAATAAACTTAAAGCGGGGTGGCAATGGGGGAGTTTGGAATAGAACATTGTATTCACTTCACTATTTACTTTCTTATCTCTTATCTGTGGAGGGGAGGCAGAATTGCA